TTTCTAGCTAGCGGAATTTCGAGTGATCTTATTACAACACGAAACACTGCAAAAACGCATGATCGCACAGGCCCGCCCAGTGCGCGTCGCCAATGATTTAGTTCTTGCATACACCCAACAGGCGCGATACTATAATGAGCTTTTATCCGCATTATGGTAAAACACACTTAAAAAACGAAATTAAGCAACTATTAACTCTTTCCTGATTTGAAAATTTAAAATAAAATTTCATTAATTTTTATCTTAAGTGAGATTCAAGCATTCCGTAATGATCTACTGGTACCGCTTGCACTAACAGCAGTCAATCAGAGCTTTATTTCTCCTTTTCGAAGATCGAAACAAGCTAAAGGTTTTCGAAGCTAGATTGTAACAAACACATAAATATAAATCTCCCATTAGAAAAACAAACTAGTCAAACAGATTTTCTTGCCAGCGACTTGACTATTAGTCACGGATACCCAGCGCAAATTAAAGTTCAAAGACGGCAATAAGAATCGTTGCACTGGTATAATGTTCTTACTTATATCATTGTTTTAAAAAAAACTCTCCTAACCAGTAAACTGTAAAATGATCCCCTAACTTGACGCCATATTTTTATCGTCAGATTCGAAAACTCAGTCGCTACAATATTTTCATACAAAAAAAGCCATTGATCACTTAGAGCAAATATTTGTCCGAACCTGATTTCATCTCGCGCCGATTGCAAAGAGGTGGCCAACGTAACCACTTCATCTTCAAGGCTTGCTTTTGCCAGTAGCTTCTCATTCTCGGCTCGGAATTTCTCGACATCACTTTTGGAAATAGCAAGAGCAGATCGAACCTCTTCCAGATCCTTTTCAAGTGCCTGGCATTGCTTTCTGTATTCCTCACTGAAAAATTATGAGTAGCTTCATCCCAAAGGGACTGTTTAAAAGCAGAAGTATGAAAACCTAATGTTTAGCTAAACTGAAAGAAGCGCTGACTGTTTGCGAGAGTTTAAAGCAAATTTTGTGACTGATAAATAGCGGCTACGCCAGAAGAACAACACAGTAAGTGGTTTTTGCGCAACGGCTCCTTTCGTGAAGGACGAAGTTTGCGCATATGCTCCGGCGTGAATTTAGAGCCTCATGCAAATATAGATCAGAACTGCATGACATGCTTCCACCTACATTTAAAAACCCAGGGTTGCCAGTGGGAACATACGCTTTTGCGCAAACTTCAAGCAACCAGATAGTTAACAGTATGAATGGTTGCTGCTTTTCAGTTTGCTGCACTCATGTCGACAATGTTATTCCTATTGTTACACGTAAGGGAAAAGTGGCGCAGGCTGAAACGATGGCGGCGCATCTTGGGGTTGCACAAAATCTGAACCTCAACTATGCATGATTACTGCAAGTTTTGCATGAAAATGTCGGCAAACGTACCCTCAAGTTAGTCATATTCGTCTATGAAATCTGATTTTACGCTTGCGGTCTTTCGCATGGATAATAAAAATTTTCACAAAATTTCGGCTTCCTGCTTAGTTTGGTTGCAGAGTGAATGGTTGCTGAATTTGGAACTTTACTCGCACGTACGTGGGACCTAAGCGTGCTTCGAGATTCAGTTCAAAATCGCCCAATCGTACACAGACGTAAAACATTTTTGTAAAATTTCAACTTCCTAGCTTGTCTGGTTTCCGAAATTTCTTTGCTCAGAATCATAAGGCTATACAGGAATCATAAGGCTATACATAATACGCCGCTGGCAATAAAGCCGGGCGGCAACGACCGAAGCATGAACGACAATGGTATGACAGCAAAAGAACTGTTATACCCAACATTTGCTTTGGAATTATTTTGAAATAAAAGGAATCTAACGCATTTGCATTTTTCTGTTTTTGATTTCTTCGTGCACTAAAAATTTTGCATGCAAGTGCGCCAGTGTTCCAGTTTAGTTAGATTCTGGACTGAGAAAGGAGCGTGCATTTGCACAATACACTTCTGTTTTCTTTTTCCAAAATTTTACAGAAACAAAGGACGGGGAATTGCACACGGCTGTGACTGCCTCATCGATTCACAAACGAATGCTTACTGCGCGGCCGACTGAAAGGAGCTCTAGTAGCTTCTCAGAATCTACGGCAATTACTCATGCTGGAGTTTAAAATTTCGCTCGATCTTGCGATGCAGCAACACGTCTCAATCATCAAACTACGCCCCTTCCTCATCGCAAGTAACAAAAGTCCAAGGAGTCAAAGTTCAACTATCTGGTCTGTTCAGTTATGCTTCTTTGGCTGTGCAAATAGTTGCCAGTTTCAAATAATTGGCCAACGCACGGGCTGTCCGTGCGATGATGCGTTTTTTGCATAGTTCCCCGCAGTTT